TCTACAGTTCAAACGACCATCTACCCCAAGTACCCCTGTGTGTGCTACATTGGCCGACAGTCAGTCCCAGATCAAACTACTGGGCGTCTGTTCTATCACCTGGCCTCTCCTAAGGCTGTTACAACGGTTCAGGCCTATGTCACAGATCAGCTGTCCTATCCAGTGGTGATAGGAGTCCCTACTCTCTTCGCATTGAAGGCGAGGCTTGACTTCGGCAATAGTGGTGTTGTCAGAATCACTACTGGTTCTTGTTCAGACGCAATCGATACGAGTACCTCCACAGCCGATTCCGGTCTCAAGCCGATCTCTGCGAGTTGTGTACACCTTGTTACTGGTGATAAGCCTGACGATGATATCCGCCTTTGGGAAGCCTTCATTCCTGTCAAAGAAGAACTCTCATGTGCTCATGTACAACTTACTGTCGGGCAAGAAGGGTCCGAGTTCGTAGACACTCTACACTGTGGTGACAAGCTGAGGCCCAATCTTCATGGTAAGGTGGTCGAACATCGTTCTCCTTCGAGGACTGTACAGCTCGATTTCACCCGTGATGGGCGATATGTTGTGGATTTGCTTGCTCAAGGAATAGAGGATGTGGCTGGGCTTGGTTGGAAAACTACCGTTATCCGTGCTGCAAGGTCTCTTCGAGGTCGTACTTCAGACGAGTTGTCCCAGATAGGGTCAGCGATTGACAAGCTACTGGCATCCGGCTATGTTGGTTATATGCCCTTACGGTTCACTGACCGAGTTCCACCAAGAACGGTATTCCATAACCTCTACACTCACAGCCCCCTGATACGCACGACGCATATGGCACATGATACCTACTATAATCGTTATTTGCCAACCTTCGTGCCATCTCAGTACGTCTTCAAAAGATCCAGCAGCACAACCCCTTGCCGTATTGTCTATGATGCTAGGCGAAGTAATCGGTTGTTGACGCCTCCGTCTACGACAAGATGGAATTTGATGAGTTTTCTGATCACTACTAGTTCGAAGCCATGCATATATTACATGGATATCTCGGCGGCGTTCAATCAGATCTTGTGGACGCCACGCAGTTCGGCTCTGTGTGCTACGGTGCTACAGCGACCACGAACTGTGGAAGATCATGATGGGGTTCCTATTTTAGTTATATGGGCTTCGATGGCTTTCGGCCTGAGCAATAGTCCATGTGGACTAGAGGTTGCAACAGCTGGAGTCGAGCTTGAGTCTCTGCAGCTAAGCTCTATCCTTTCAGTTCCTAGTGAATATGTTAGTGAGCTCTCTTGTTCGACGCCTGGATTCTATTCTGATACTACGTACGACTACTGTCGCCCTATAATCGAGGCCGCCTTCGACTTCTCTCCACTATCTTCTACTTCTCTGTATGAGGGTTTGCTGTGGGAATCGTGCTGGAAGGATTATGTTGATGACTGGCAGATCGCCGGGGACCACATATGCCAAGTCCACTGGAATAAAGATCTGAGAGTTGGTGTCGCAGGCTATAGAGGCTTTACCTTCTCGGATGCCAAGCAGTTCAATACATGGTCCCTGGGCGAGGCGGATGTTCGCTCCGTCCTTGGTTATCGTGTTACTTCTGACGATCATCTTCTACCGATACTTGATATAGAAGAGCTTCCCTTGGGTGTCCCTAAACGAGAGATAAGCAAGGCTCTCTCTAGTCTCTATGATCCACTAGGTAGATTCTTGGAGTACTCTATGTGGGGGCGGTCCCTCTGGCGACAGGCGGTGGTATCGGTGTCGTCCACTGGCATTCTCTCTTGGGATCTCCCAGTTAGTGATGATATAGTGCAGGCTGTGAACTCGTGGGTCCGATCGGTTTCGATCTTGCACAAGACCCCTCGCTTTGTACCTGTACGCCCAGGTCCCTTTCTACAGGGAACGGTACAAATTATTGTCAGTCTAGATGCTAGTGGCATGGGTTGGTCGGTGGATATCAGAAGTAGGCTGCTTGTTGGAAGATCTTCCTATCCCATATCTCCAAGACTACTCGGTCGTGGTGGGCTCTTCCCAAATAGCAAGAATTCATTGTCTACTTCCGACTCTCTTATTGCCTCGCATATTGGTACAACCTCTCGGAAGGAGCTGCATGCCCTGCTAAGGGGTAGTGAAGAGGCCGTCCGTCTTGACCGTACCTGCTCCTTGGACGATTCTACTAAGTTCATCATCTGTACTGATAGCTTGATCAACCTTCAAAGACTCAAATGGCTTGGATCGATGTCAGAAGCGATGGCCAGTCTTAAGGTTCGCAAGGGAGGTCGTAAACGACAACTTTCTGACCACGACTTGAGAAGACTAGTGCAAGTCAGGGAACTTCTGCTGAGCCTGAGTACTTCAGTAGTAGTTGTCCATGTGCCATCTTCTCTCAATGTGTCTGATGCCGCATCGCGCTGTTTACCCAACTGTGATGTAGACCTTACTGAGCTCAAGGTCTTGCTCGATAATATCCATCTACGCCCTCAGTATGTACCCCCAAGTATCTCGAGTTCCGACCACGCGCTTGACGAGGCCTATGTTGAAGAAGCTCAAGACTTGGTGGTTGATGATGTTGCATGTATCCTACAAGGGCTCACTGATGAAGAAGCATCCTTATGTACCCTCACTCCTCGACCTGGCCAGATGCCTGTCCCTCTACCTGAGTGTGATGAACTCCCCAAGTTGACAGCTGATGATAAGTCACGCCTTGACGAGATTATCACGGATTCTATACAACAAGACGGAGAGATGTGTGCGGTGTTTATCTTCCTTACCAAGCATAAGTGCACTGGTCATCTTTCTCCGGACCGTGTTAAGCGATTGTCTAACTCTTATCTCGTTGAAGACGGTAAGCTGTATCGTCATGTGCTACAACGTCCTGATGGTACTATCGTACGTCAGCGCGTTATCGGCCGGGGAGCCCGTCACCTGCAACATAAAATTATTTTCGATCTTCATGTACGGAACTCTCATCTCGGTGCTCGAGGTTTGGGTCGGTTGGTTCAAGAGACCTACTTTTGGGTTGGCTTGGAGAAGGTCGTTAGAGATGCTCTGACAAGGTGCCGTCCGTGCCTCAGAACTCGTTCTCTCCGCTGCTTCAATAGTTCTGCTGGTGTAAAACATGTTGAGAACCTACTACCGGGTCAAGTACTAGGCGTTGACTTATATTTACCTCAAGTCCACACCCCGAGTACTACCAACCGTAGCTCTTCGAAGCGCGATGATGTTTCTGCCTGTTTGGTCCTAACTGATATGGTGTCTGGGTTTCTTACATGCCAGACCCTGACTGGCAGTGTCACCAGTGGTACTATCATATCCGCTCTGTCATTATGCTTCAGTAACACCATCAGACCTGCCGTTTTGATGCACGATAATGCCAAGGTATTTCTCTCGAGAGCGGTATCCGACTGGCTCGGTTCGAGGGGAGTTCAGCAATTAGCTGCGCCGTTGTATGCTCCAGAACTATGTTTCTGGGAACGGTCACATCGGGAACTTACTCAGTCAGTCAAGGCTGTTGTCAATGATGCCTCTTCTAACAAGCTATGGTGGCAGGCCGTGGTTGAGGCATGTGATGCTTTGAACGACGTTCCTATAGACCAGCACTTATGGGTCTCACCTCGTATGCTGATGTTCCCCCATTATAATCCTCAAGTCTTCTATGATCAGAAGAATGCCTCGATCGAGTCTCTGCGTTCTCGTCTTGTTCCAGTTGACGATTCTCGGTCTGCCCAACGAGTCCGTGAGACCGCTATCGTATCCCATCGTGCATCAGTATTGGCTTATCTACGACACTGGCAAGATCAACGGGAGCGCTCACGTTGTCGAGTCCTTTATGGTGTGCGTAATGGTCAGCAGTTCAATCTACCGGTTGGCAGTAGTGTTTATCACTATGTTACCTCTGGCAGCAAGCTACAAGGCAGAATGAAAGGCCCCTTTCGTGTGGCTGCTGCGGCGGATGGGGCGACTGTGTTGCTACAGGGTTTCAACGGTCAGTGCTTTAAGGCCTGGGTAACTAACGTTGTTCCCATCCCTCCGTGGCCATCCTCTGATACCGAAGGAATACCTTCTGACGAAGATTCTCAGCCGAATACTACTGGTGTTGAGATTATCCAAGGATGTCAGCAAGTAGAAACTCAGGGACCTGTGAGAGTTCCAGTTCCTTCTAGTCAATATCTCAGTCGACTGCCCTTCGAGTGGAATCTCGATGATCTCCCACCTTTGTTGGTTCTCCCACCGCCTATGAGACCTTGTTGATGGTCCCTCTCTCTGCAAGGCTAAGAGTGATGGTCACTGTACTCATTCTATTCTACTTTTTCCGTATATCTTCTGTGCAAGTTCTTTCAGTCGTTCCGGTTGTCGCCGGGAGAATTCAGTGATGACTGACACTGAGAAACCATAAGTGCGCAAGATGCTTAGATTTCTGTGTTGATTCCGTCTCCATCGTGACGATACTATCGTCTCAAGCTAAGCTCGCAGGCTGAGCCACTGCTCGACGGCTACAGTCGTGTCTGGTAATCTGTATTATCTGATCTAAAGGCATCCACTCGGTTGCGTTCTACCGTAATATATCGTTGTTCAAGGCCGTGCTCCTCAAGATCAACGAATTTGCGAGCTCATGTGGAGTCCGCCGGGTAGATAGGGAGTCCCTATGAGGAACCGTATCTGTACACGACCCGCCAGCCTACTAGAGATGTGTTTTTTCGCTCAGCTGATGTTGTTGCTGTCAACTTTCTCCTGGGGCCTATTTCACAAGCATCCTAATGTTAGGATTTTAACCCATTAGGATGCAACTTAAGGATAAATGGCGTTCACAAGGGCCCTTTCCTTAGGTTGGGTTAGGACTTTAGGACATTAGGATCCTTACCGTTAGGATTTAGGATATTAGGATGCCTTTATCCTCAAAAACAGGCTGTTAGGACGCTCGGCTTTCACAAGCTATATTTTTAAGGAAATTTTCATCCTAATGGTAAAGTACCTCGGGGGGGTACTTTACCGACCATCCTAACGTTAAAGGTATACAAGACGACTCGCTACGTTCCGCCAAACAGTCGTTGGTTCGAAACTCTGCGAGCACATTTTTAAATTAATTTGTAACTTGCACAAAAATCTTACAACTATTAACAAAACTCTTTACCAAGTTCGATACTTATCTGAAGCTTATAAGCTTCGTATGAAACTCCTTACAAATGCTACTCTTCGGTAGAGTCAAGCCTTTTTTTACTGCAAGACCCCTCCATATCAGAAGACGTTAAGATCCATAATGGTCCATTACTGGATCATTCATTACGCGTATCAGTTGATAATAAAAGAGGTTTTATCTGTTAAATCTGCTGAATGGCGCCTTGTGGCACTATCTTTGTCGGATTCTTATTTAGTTTATATCAAGTATAAAATGGTGGGGTGGTAGAGTTTGCGGCTGTTGTTCGATCTATCCAGGTTCGATTCGTAGCTGTATAATGTTTTACGTTGTGTTTAATTGCCGTTAGGAGTCCTAATATCCTCAGTTAGCACATCCTTACGTTAGGTAAGGACGTCTTTAAGTATAGGATCCTAACGTTAGGTAAGGAAAATCTTGTGAAATAGCCTTAGTTAGGTAAGGACGTCCTAAGGTTAAAATCCTATACGTAAAGACGTCCTAATCTAAGGACGCTTGTGAAATAGGCCCCTGTACTCGCTGCGCCTGCGTACTTTGCGCTTGCGTGCGAAGGTTAGAATTGAGTCAGTGAAAGTAATATACGCTTCTCTAAGCACGGATTTTGTTGTTGACAACTAAACCCTCACTGACTTGCGCCTTGCATACAAACACCATTTTGCCGAATATTGGAGCACGAGGGATTCATTTTGAAATGGGAAAAACGTGGATGGCACACACGAGATCAAATTGTGAAACTTCCATTCTTGGTGCGCCATCGAAGCTTTTTGGTGGTATTTACAGTGATATGAGCTGATTCTCGGAGCATAGAAATACATGCGATCGTAGCCCTTATCAGAGCTCACCGCAGCCGTGTCCCCAGTTCTCAATACAAAGTTGTCTCGCCAATACGCGGAGAGCGCAGTTGACGCTTCTAGTCTCCCGCAACGGGATGTCCATGAGATTGAATGCGGCTGAGCTTCCCAATAGGTCCATCAAACGGCGCTTAGCTAAGTCAGAGACATATCCCTTGGTGCTCGCCATCGAGTCCAACTAGTAGTGCTTGTTATCATTCCTCGCCGTCATATTCGAAACACCGGAATTCGGCGATTATGAGCATTGATCTCTGAGATCATTTCTCCCTACTATCCACTACTCATTAGTTCACAAGGCGAGCTGTAAGTCAGGGAGCTCTTTATCAAGAACTCGAATAGGCAGCTTTCTACCGCAAAGGTCGAGCCAGATGGCTACGACAGGTCACCCGGGATGCCGACCACTCTTACAGACTGTAAGTTACAGTAGAGCGCCACTCACCGAAGTAACATGAAGTTGAGGTGAGTAATGCTCCATAGTATTAATATCATCGAAAGCTCAGTAGCATGATCGATGCCTATATCGGGCGAAAAAGATCCAACTAAGCTTGATTTCCGACCATGGGATCTTACTTCTCGAATAGAAGGTGAACGGCCTTGACTGAACGCGGCAGACGTTCCAGGAACTGTTCTTACCAGGTATTCACGCTGTTTTGCTCCACAGAAGAGGGTGAGTGTTGTAAGACGTTCACATGCTCCATGATGGCGCCTCCATGTGAGAGGCTACGGAGTTGGTAGTACGAACGACTCACGTTTTATTTCTCGTTCCAACCTCGTTTTATTCGTCATGAGAAGCGTCCACATCAGACACATTATAACGGAATAGGCCGAAGATTAAGACCAACTAAACGGCTGAATCTCGCGCATTCCAGTCTCGTTCTGTTGCTATACAGTTACTAGTATCCATATCGGATAGAAAGTGACGGGAGTGACCTGAAATTAGGATCTGAACAAGATCTCATAGAGTAAGATATTCAATACATGAGTCATGTAACCTAACTGGCTCTACGAATACGAACTTCATACCGTCACGGATCAAAACCGTATACCGGATGCGTCACACAGTTAAGTTGTAATCTCAGGAGCATCTTATTCGATCGTATACCGATCCGATCGATACACTTGGAATCCAAGTGTAATCCAGTATAATTTGTT